TGACAACAGAGATGAAAATTTGCTCGGTGAACCTTGATTGAAATTTAAGAAAAAAATAACAATAAATACAATAATAATAATAATAATAATAATAATATTAATAATAATAATAATAATAATAAAACAGTAATACTTATTCACTCCACATATGTGTAGTAAAAATGTTTAGTTCATCCTTATTGAAATGATGAATAGTTGCTCTGTCTTATATTTTGACTATGCCTAGTTTATAACTTAACTTTCCCCAAGATTTGAGTTTATTGGCTAAAAATATCCCATCCTAAAAACTTAAAACTTGTGGGTTGCAAATGCTTAATCTAGTCTAAGTTATTGTGGGGCATGATATGGTGCAACGGAAATTTGCTGTGACTTTGTTCTAAGAAAGACTTGACAGCCGGAGTTTTATTTTCAAAATGCTAAAATTAAAAGTTCCTCAGTGATTTATATTCCCTACCAAAGCCATATGACATGTTCTACAAATACAAAATCTTAGTCATATGCTGCTTGTTATCATATTGAGCTTTGTCAAATTATTATGATCAGTGTTGAGATTCTCATCGTGCACCCATGATCAAGACACACGTACACCCACAAATAAAATTGCTGACTTTTACACTGAGAGTTATGCAAAAACATGTTTTCCGCCCACCAAATAATTACTCCATTCATTTATCATGAGTCGCTCTCATAAGTTTTTCATATGCCAAAAGGAAGTATGGGCTATGCTAAAAAAAGAGAAAAAATGCATGCCAAAAAGCATGAAGAAAAGAAGATAGAATAAAAAGAAATAAATAAAGATAGCCCATAGTTTCAAATAAAAGGCATTCATCAAAAGGAGAGAGAGAGTCATGATCAAAGGAGTACAAAAATATTTTAGAATTAGGAAGATTATAAAAATTCCACACACTTGTACGTCTTGATCAAAGTGTATGACTTGCATCTCCTTGAGGTCCGGTTTTTAACTTAGCAATATTATGTGATGCAAGTATGCCTTCTTTTATACCTACTCAAAGATCCACATAAGCCATTTAGTTGGTAGGATAAAAAGAAAGGCAAATATAAAAAGCCTTTGGTGAGGATCATACACTTCTGAGTGACCGAGTGAATCATTTGAGGAACTTAACTTTATTTTTGCAAAACTTTCAAAACCTCCAGAAAGAAAGTCTATTAAAGAACGAATCAAAAGCATTTTTGTGAACCATTCTATCTTGCAACCACCCAAGACTTGGAGAAAGGCTAAAAAGCTCCACAGGTAACGAGACAATAAGGGGTGGATAGAATGCCGATTTATCCAAATCAAGGAAGAAAACTTTGTTATAGACATGGCACTTTTGAAATGTAATCGGCATGGTAGCAACTCCTGATCAACAACCAACGTCTTAACTTTTGCTCGAGGATGAGCAAAGGGTAAGCTTGGGGAATTTTGTTGGCGGTCCTTATCGACAAAATCCAACCGCCAACTATGATCCCAAAAAGAGGAAACTACATGTTTTTACACACATATACCTTTACTATTGACATAGTTCCACTTGTATTGGAGGTTCACCATTTTGCAGGAGACATGCTTGAATACAAGGGAATTATAGTCAAGTACGCCATCAAACAATGTGCAAAGCAAAGAAATGAGAAGAAGGCCCATCCAAATATCAAATCTAGGCCAACCACCGATGAGGAGGTAGCCCAGGCCCACTCAAAAACCGACTAGAGGAAGACGGTCATGAGGCGGCTCCACCTGGGTGCGGCCGCACCTAGGGTGAGCCCGTACCCCTGCCTCTGCCAACCAGGCCTAGCTTCCTCTAGCGGTATCATCAATGCGCTAGGAGGTCGGTTTGGGAGGTTTCCTAATTTATCTCCAAACCGACCATAGAAGTAGTATATAACAGAGGGGAGAGCTCCATTCACAAGACACACCACACTTGAGCTCTCTCTCCCTCCACACTTGTATTTGTTTACTATTTTTAGTAGTCTTTGGAGCAAGGCAAGCTTCATTGGAGAGCTTGAACCTCTAGGGGCAAAACTTGGTATGAATAATATGAAGAGTTCCCTTATGTTCTTGCTCTCATATTATCAATGTAGCTATGCTTATGAATTAGAGCTAAGTTCTTATATTATTCATTTAGCATGTAGAACTTTATGCTTAATCTTTCATACATACATGTTTAGACCAAGACCTAAATTGAGGTAGTAGGTTCTACTTTAATAATAGTTTTGGTCATTATATTCTTGTGGGTTCATCGTCCGTCCCCGTGGCGGATGCTCTAGTAAGAGGACTCCTAATAAAGACAGAAGTTCCTGGCCACCGCTAGAGTAGTAACTGATAGCGTAGACGTGGTGTCTATGTTAGAAGTTACCTTCATTTGCCTCATATCCCCTGGTTGAGGGGTAGACGGCAGGTGGTGACAGCCATGTCCGTCCTTCGTAATCCCCTACGTTCGGATACGGTGTAGAGCTACAGGCCGGCATCGACTGGCAGACCAGTTGCAACCTGGTTCCCGAAGTAAATTTATAGTGACCGAAGCTATCTTAACTTAGGATCGCTACCCTTAGATATTCATGTATTTATATGATTTGCTCATCTTAGCATAGCTATACAAGAAAAGCCTGCTTCAGTTTAGGTTTATTCTTTTATTCTTTATTTTTTTTTATTTTTATCCTTGAGATTGGCTTAAGTGTGTGTCACTGTTGACAAAATCTGGTCAACAGTCTATCGAGGGGTATGCCCACGGTAGTAGATGAATCAGTGGAGGTGCGCGTGAGGAGACCGGATGGTGACACAGAATGTAAGAGACAATGATTAGACAGGTTCGGGCCGTCGGCTTGACGTAATACCCTATGTCATGTGTCTCTGTGGATTGTATTGCGTGTGTTCAGATGAAAACGAGGGGGTCCCTACCCTCTTATATAGCTTAGGGGGTAGGGTTACAGATCGGTTATTTCCATTCTGATCGGTTTACAAGATAGAAAGTTACAGATCGTACAATATCTATCATATCCGAGCAGATTTCGTAGATCACCGAGGATCTTCACATTGACTTGTGAAGCACATCGTCCTCCGGCATACTTCGCGTGGTATTCTCTTGCGAGCTAAGCCTCGACCAGTGGCGCGACCCGTGCATAGTCTTGTGGGCTGGGCCTCCACTAGCGGCTCGGCCCACGTAGAGCCTTGCGGATAGCGAGGGTCATACCCCCACAGTCACACTATCCAATATCTATCTTGGATTACCCATGTTATGGACTTTGGTCTACTATGTAGTCATGTTATCTTGTCCATATCCTTATTAGAGACTTTTACACCATGCCTTTCTTTGAAAAAATATAAATGAACGATACCCGAATACTGCCGGGTAAAATGCTATAACGATATATCCATACGCTTGTGGAATATTTCTGCATGTATTCAGAAATATCGTCACGACATTTCTGATGCTATTGCTAGGAAACACTAATCCTAATGATTGTGCTAAGAAATGCCAACAGTAGCTTAGAGAGTTGGGGCATTGTTGCCATTGTATACAAAGGGGCGATCTGGCATTGGTCACCTACTGGTTTTCACCTGCACAGTAGAGCTAGCTGGTGTCACGTGTTCCTGCTAATAAGGAATTATAGCTCCATCGCTTATTCATATTTGTCTACAATAACCATAGTAGGTACGTTGCTACCCTCTATTAGGAAGTTGCTTAATATATCATTTATACCGGTGGTTCTAAAAAATATTGTAATCGTATTCATCTTATTTATGCTTGATTTGTTTTGTATTAACAAGGAACATAACAGTACATGATTTATATTAATGTTTGATCATGGCTACATGTAAACATTAAATAATTTGCAGACAATTAAATAGACACTCTATTGTACAAGCTATCTATTTAGTCGTATATGTGTGAGGTAAACAGAACTTGCAGACAACAAGTTGTTTGTGGGTCATATATGCCCTAAGCCTAGTTTCCTCTTAGTTTGTGCGTAGCACCTTGTCTTCACCATTCAACAAAGTAATAGCCTGTTTGTGCATGGCGCCTCATCTTTACAATTCATCAACAACACCAAAGCACAAGAAGCATAATTGTGGAGACCGATGGCGAAGTGGTGAATGCTGGGCCCCGTTCGACTGGCAGAATTTTGGCTGAAACTGGCTAGAAAACACTGTTCTGGTTGAATTGTTGTGAGAGAAAAACACTGTTCCGGCTGAAAAAAGAAGCCGAACAAGCCGAATATAAGGTAGGCTGAACGGGGCCCTGAGGACCTAGCTTTTGACAGATCTCCTCTTGGTGTAATATCTAGAGTGATTAGAACCAAAATGCTATATGATTTCACAGAAGATTCTTGTAACTCCAACCGTGGCCCTGTTCGTTTCTCTTATAATCCGTCTTTTTCAGCTTTTAGCTGGAACAGTGTTTTTCTCTCATAACTAATCAGTCGGAACAGTATTTCGGCTTGTTTTTTTCAGCGAATCGAACGGAGCCGTGTGTAAAACTCCATAATTCTTGTAAAATTCCTAGTTTCCAGCCCTAACAATCGAAACGTGGACATGGACCTCTGCCAGCTCTGTAGAAGTAACCAGTATTTTAAATAACCAGCTAAGATATTTAGCTATCTACGTCTCGAAACAAGGTACAACCAGCTATAATATATGCAAAATTTTAATTAAATCATTTTTAAACAGCTATAGCTAAAGATAGCGGAAGCTATTAGATTTAAAACCTTGAAACTAACCCGAATAACAACGCGTGCTCTGCTCACTGGCAATGTGGCCCCGACCAAACAGACAGAGAAATGCAGAGTCCTCCTCCTGACAGCGTGGCATCGGCTCCCATCGCAGGATCCCGATCTAACCGCTCACGTCCTCCTCGCCACGCCGACCGTCGTGCCCAGCTTTAATTGCCTTCTCCGCCCCACGCCGCCGCCGTTGGGCTCTCGGTCTCGTTCGCCGCGTACGACTGTGCAGTCCGCAGCCAGCCAGCCAACGTAGTACTCGGGTGCCGGGTCGGGGTCCGCTATCGATGGCGGTGCGGCGGAGCAGGGGCTGGGCGCGCGGCGCGGCGGCTTTCGCGGCCGTGGCGCTGGCGGTGGGCGCGGGGCGGCGGTACGGGTGGGACGGCGCCTCCGCGGTGGCGGCGTTCCGCGAGGCCCGGGGCACGCTGGGGCCCTGGGCTGCGCCGGCCTACGTGGCCGCGCACGCGCTCACGCTCGCGCTGTGCCCGCCCTACGCCATCTTCTTCGAGGGCGGCGCCGCGCTCATCTTCGGCTTCCTGCCTGGCGTCGCGTGCGTCTTCTCCGCCAAGGTCCTCGGGGCCTCGCTCTCCTTCTGGATCGGCAGGTCGAGACCACGCCCCCCTCCTTGCTCTTCCCTGCTTCTCGTGTCCGGGCTCTGCATCCTTCTTGCTGCTACTTTTTGGGTGCGCATAGGAGGCGAGATCTGGGAACGCTCTAGCTTCCCTCGATCAAGATCTGTTAGGGAAAAAAAATCCGCGCAGCTGCTTGTGCGTGGTACTGATTGAGGGGGGGGCAGGGCAAGAGTGGAAGCAAGAAAAACAGATTTAGGATGTTCTAATAAACAAATAAAAGTCACAACTTTTTGCATTGGTTTGCCAGTTGGATTTGTCTTCTGTTGCCCATGGAATTTGGAATTTTGTAGTATTTTGTCCGTGTATTACTGTGGTTTAGTTGTGCAGCTTTTGGATTGTGTAGATAGGACTTCTAGGGAGTTAGTGAGATCTAGGTGTTACCTTCTTGCATTACTTGTTTTCTTTTTGCTGTTTCTAGTTGAGTGTGAAGTGTAGAAATTAGTTCTTGGCCATGTATAATTGTTCAGTTGTGCTGTATTTGCGTTACATAATTGTGACCTAATGCAGTGTGACAGGCTAGTCCTTGATATTAGGAGCAAGGTTCATTCTTTCACCAGCAATACTGACTAGTTCACACCAGTAAGTCGAACTTGACTCGGAAGAGCACGAAAATAGAGTGGATGTTATGACTGAGGGCAATAGCTTTGGTTAGAACTGGAAAACCTGCAAAAGAATGTTATTGTCACACTTTTATTGTGGTTGAGCACTAATGTTTATTAATGAATGAATTCTCATGTCGGACTATACCGTACTTCACTTTGTAGTCGCTCTGATACAGCAAGTTGATTCCATCACACTTCATATGTTAATAAGGCGGTGTTTAGATTATTGGCCACTAACTACTTAACTTTACAGTCTTGAAATCTTTAGTTGCATTCTATATATTGTTCAATCTTTTGATACATATACATGGCCCATCAGCTAAGTTATGTAGCACAATGAACAATATATTTGATTTTAGGTACCACATGTGAACTATTAGAGTGGCTAATGTTTGTATAAATGTAGCAATAGATGATTTTAGATAAATAATAATGGTCTTAGTTACTTATGCATTTACTCATACTAAGACTTTTGGTGATGGCTTAATACAAGTCTGCATTAACAGTGCAGTGTTGAAATCATGTGAGATTTCATGTTCGGTACTTGTACAATGTCATGCGACCTCTTCAGCTTTACATCCTTGGTCCTGGGTAGTTTTCCTGTTTTCGAGAAAATAAAGGTTGACCCATTTCATTAGCAATGTTGCAATACAAAGTGCAATAGATCATTAAACTTGATGTATGAACTATGATGTTCATGCATAAATAAACGTAAAACAAATTTATATATGAAGTTGGCTGTATGCAAACAACTGCTGTAAACCTTTTGAGCTTACATACAAGATACGATGCCTTAGGTAATCATATGGGAATCATGTACGGTTGTACGCTAGATTCTGCCTTTGTTCACCTGTGTATCTCAACTGAAGGCTATTTTGCCATACAAGCTGGTTGACATGGTGGTCCGAAATTACCCAGTACATATATTTTATTGCAAGGTTTTATATTATTATTATTCACACAACAATTTTCCCTTCCTGTTTTGCTTGTATTCATACAATGGCTGCTGTTGGTCTGTATATTCTGTTCTAACATTCTTTCCTAATATAAATCTTTTCTGAATTTCCTCAGGGCAATTTTCAGATACTTCACTTCAGCAATGGAATGGCTACAGAGGAACAAGTACTTCCATGTTGTCGTTAAAGGGGTTGAGCGGGATGGCTGGAAATTTGTATTGCTTGCTAGATTCTCTCCTTTGCCTTCCTACATCATCAACTACGCTCTATCAGCCACGGATGTTGGATTTTTTAGAGATTTTCTTCTTCCCACAGTTATCGGCTGCTTACCAATGATACTACAGAATGTTTCCATTGTAAGCCTTGCCGGTGCAGCAGTGGCCTCGACCACAGGATCAAATAAGTCCCATATATACTCTTACCTGTTTCCAGCAATGGGCATTGTGTCCAGTGTTCTCATTTCATGGAGGATTAAGCAGTATTCCTCAGCCCTTGCTGTTCCTGAAGAGCTGCAAAGTTCACCTACTAATGGAAATGACAACGGTGATGCTAAGCTGGCTTCCACACCATCCAAAAACACCAGCTCTGGGAAAACTAGGAAGAGAAGGTGACCGACAGTATCCCCCTGTATTTACTACATTGTGATACCGAGTACCAAGCAGCTACAGCCGATGCTAGTCAAATATTTGGATTTCCACATTGGTTTACCCTACAGTAAGCTATCTTGTCTGTTTCATGCCATGGTTTTTTGGGGGCATTTAGCAGATGCTCAGTCTGTCATTGAGCTTCTGTTCTTGTGGCAGATAATATCATAAAATGAGAGATTTGGATCGTCCTGAGTTCAAATGTATCCTGGGAACCAATATTGGTTTTCCCTCCCTAATTATATCAAACTTGACATGTGCACGATGAGGTCCAACCAATTTATGTTCTTTGGTATAACAATTCAATTCAGAACTGTGTTTGCTTTTGTGTGGTTGTATAGCTGTTGTGACATCCTCTATAAGCAGAGGTCCACTCTTTGCCCACAATCCAAAGCAAATAGTGCAATCTTATACAGTATGCACAAGCTTTGGTTGCACTCCTTTCCCATCACATTATTTAACCCATGTTCTGCTCCTTTGTTCTCGTCTCACAAAATTTCAAGAGATGAAGAGCTCTCACTTGTGTTCCTACATTCTTCTTCTAGGCATCTATGCTCCAAAAGCCCTATCAGATAATCCTTCTCTGCAGGATGTATGCCCCATGGCTCCCCAGGGTGAGCGGAAGCTGTTCATGAATGGTTTCCTCTGCAAGCATCCCAGCACCATCCTGGCCTCCGACTTCAAGACACTGCTGCTGAACCATGCCGGAGACCTGGACAACATAGTCCGGTCATCGGTGAACATGGTCACCACTACCGAGTTGCCAGGCCTGAACACCCTGGGCTTGTCGATGGCGCGCACCGACATCGCCCCCAATGGGGTAGTGCTCCCCCATTCTCACCCGAGGGCATCGGAGATGATGTTCGTACATGGTGGCAGTGTGGTGGTCGGCTTCTTGGATACGAAGGGCAGGCTGTTCCAGAAGAGCCTTGGCGAGGGGGAGGTGTTTGTCTTCCCCCGTGGCTTGGTTCACTACATCATGAACTATGGTTTTAACCTTGCAACCACGTTTTCCGTGCTGAACAGTCAGAACCCAGGCGTGGTTGGCATTGTCCATGCAATGTTTGCGACAGATTCAGATGTAGTTGAGGGGCTGATGGCCAGAATGTTTGAGTTTGGAGAGATGGGAGTGAGTGACAACATTACTGCTGGTTTCCCATGGGCATTCTGATTAGGAACAACATAGTGGCTGTGATTGAAGATCACCGTCTAAATGCCCAGTAATGAATAATGTATGATTGTGGTGTATCTGATTAACTTCTGTAACTGATGTAAGTTTGTAGTCTGAACTACTTGTAGGACGAATCACAATCATCCCTTGTCTCTCTCTCTCCAGGTTTATTTATGTTATTGCAATCCCTGCTCTCTTTTTGTTGCAGTCCTTTGCAATTCTGCTATCTCTCACCCTTTTGTTTTGCTTTCACAATCCTGTTTCACTTTGCAATCTTATGTCAATGGTGATTCCCTAGTCGCGTCACGCAACTGTAGCTTCAGCATCACCAAGTTTGAGTATTTCATGGACAGCACAGCTTTCCTTTGTCTTTTGCTTTACTCAGTGGATCTCTACATCATTTGTTGTTTAGCATTATCTCCAGGCTCCAACTCCTTGAAGGTAAGGTCTCTTTCTTTGAAGGTGAGATCTCTTTCTTTCCCGCGCCTTCTCTTTCACACTGAAAGCTCCTGCACCTGATTAAGGTAGACGACTCTAGCACCAGGCCAATCCTGTCATATTCACACGCTGCTTTGTAAGGTGGCGTGAGATTCTCCAACGGCCGGGCACGACCTGCAACCGCCTTGACCGAGAAGCAGCTTCCGCAGATCCGGAAGATTCTGGCAGAGCTACACGGCAGATGTTTCAACTGCCTTTCCTACTCACATCGAGTAGCGACCTGCCGGTTGCCACGGCGTTGTCTGCGCTGTCACAGCTACCGTCACCTCACTAGGGACTACAAGTGGCCCAGGCGTGCCGCGGCGACGGCGTCGAAGGCACTCTCACGGCCCTCCCTGCACGCGCCACTTGGTGGCTCGGACGGAGCCACGCAGATGGCTGTGAGGGGCACCAACGGCCTCCGTGAACGACGCCGGCTGTGCCGGAGCAAGCTGCCGAGGGAGATCAACATTGCCGCGACTGACAACGTCGCTACTTCTACTGCCGCACGTTGCTCCCACGAGTCCGATCCACTCGCGGTGGCGCTGTGCGAGGGCGCTGGGCCTCCCGTTTGGGTCGACCCGATGCTCGATGAGCTCGCTACCTCGCTTGTCGTGTGTCGATCTACGGGTGCTCCAGCGTTGGGGCGTCCGTCGACTCCGACTGTGGCCTCTCTGGAGGCTCAGTCATCGTTGGCGGACACCCATTCTCCACCAGAGATGGTTCAGCTCAGCTTCGCGGATGCTGAGGCGCCGGGGGTGGATGGCGACGATCGGCCAATTTCTCCTTTGGCCCTCGCCAGGGAGTTTGATAGGCGCGTCTCCGCCCTGCTGAAGACTACCATCCTCAAGGCGCCATCCCGGCGTCGAACCCGTCGCTCTCCATCGTCGGTCACCATCCGCCGTAGCACACGTCTGGCGGCAAAGTGTGCCTCTCAGCCCCCTAACGCCACCCTCCAAGCGCAGAAGGTGCTTGTGTCCAAGTGGGAACCCTCCGTCTCACAGCCGTCGGATTCCCTGGTAGTGGCGGACTTCCAGCAGACATTCTAGGGCCCGCTCGACTCCACAAAGAGGGCCACACTTCGAGCGCTTATGAAGTTCGACGTGGTGGGGCTCAAGAGTATGTTCGAGGAGACTTGCTAGTCTCGTTGGCACCTGCCCAATTAGTGGCACAAACTTTCATGTAATGTAATTTAAGTTAGGTTTATTTGGGTCGTGTTGGCTTTCATCCTTCAACGGTAATCTATGGATTACTTGGGGATGTCGTAACCAGTCAAACTCTGCTTCTGCTTAATGAAATACGTGTCGCAAGGATACGCTCGCGAAAAAAAGAAAGAATTGATCACCCAAGTGTATCCTGCACAGTCAACCTGTATAATTTTGTTTAACCCCCCAAAAAAAACTACATAACTTGGTTTCAGGTTGAGATGGCAACATGACACTCCTAAATTCTTTCCACGCGATATATGTTCTGGATTTGTTCGCACAAATTAAGATGTAAAGCCCCTACTGAAAGAGTCTCCAAGCTCACTATTGAACAAATAATTTTAGTCTTGTTAAACTAGCTCATGGTCCTTAAAAGTCGCACGAGGAAGATTTAGTTATATGCCTTTCCAAAATTGAAGTATCATCAGACAAAGGTGAAGCTTTCATGTCTTGTGTTAGAATTTGGTTCCTGACGGGGTCATGCTGTCAGAACGGGAACTGGTTCAGATAGGGGGAAAAAAACTGTGAAAAGAGAGACTGGAAGTCTGGAACCACATGGGGAAAAAGAAAGAATACCTCATTTTGTTATTCAAGAATGTGTATGACTTACACCATTGCACAAGCATTTTTTTTCTTTGCTATATGTAGTGCTTTTGCTTTGGACTATCTATACAATGGGATAAAGCACTAGGAGGCACATGCTAATAAATAAACAAACAGCTGATACCGACAAAAACGAAAAACAAAGGTGACTACTCCTACACTGGTTGCTGTGTGGGCCAGGGCGTATGCAATCATGCCCATCACCCTCTAGAACCCTAACATGTTAGCACTACTAATCATTGGCTGAGGCCGTTCATGATTGTTGCCCACCAGAGATGGTGCTCCAACATGGGATCGGAGATATGTGGCCTGGAGCACCTCAGCTGATGGCAGCCACAAAATGTGTGTACTTTCTTTCCTGCATTGCATTGGATGGCTCAACTTTCATGACCTTTGCCAGATCAATTTTGATGCTTCTGATCTGATTAGGCCATCAAACTCTGCACACCATCATGCTGGCTGATCAAACTGCTGCCTAGTCTAAGTGAGAGAGAGACAGGATCTGTACAACGGCATTTGGATTATTAATTCTTCTACTAAGAGCAAATGAACAAAAAACTGTTGGGGTTTTTACCCAGCCAACTGGTCCGTCACAATCAAGCAATACCTACTTTGGTCTTTACTCCATGCCCTCTACATCCATCCGTATATACGCTACAGCATCTGACTGCGGTATGTACCGAACTCTTTTTGTCATGAGAAAAACTTTTGGATCGAGGCTACATAAATTAGAAGTTCTCCTTGTGGAACTCGAACTTGGTGTTGGTTTTCCGTGAGAAATCCTGCGCGAGCTCACGCAGCTCCTTTGTCAGCACCGGCGCACCACAGTAGAACACTCCTGCAACATCAAAGATCGATCAGAGATGTCAGTGTTGATTCAGAAACTGAAGTATATATGAGAAAAGTCATGCATTACTGTGTGCAATTAAGTAGGATGATGATTGGCCCTGTTGTTGATTTATCCTTTTATTATCCTTTTTCAGGTAAAGATAGGAGCTGCTAATAAGCATGCCTGATTTGACTCAGTTAGGCAAGTGATGAGCAGGACCTCTTGTGGAAATACTATATGTTAAAGAAATCTGGTGCCAATCTGACCCAACTTTATAGTATTGAACTTTGAACTTTATAGATGCCCATGCTTCATAATTTATCTCTTTCCAAGTGACTATATATATGCTCACCATTTAATTCTTTTATTTGTGCTTGCAATAACTATCAGCATGTAAGTGATGTAACAATGATTGGTTAGCCCTAATTGCAGTTGCGAATGCAATGGGAACTACTTATTGGTTGTGCCTATCAGCAAGCAACAGTGATCGGTCGCTTATTGGCCCCTCTGATCATCTAGGCTGTCAAGGTCCTATTCACTCAGTCTCAACCAGGGCTAAGTTCAAATTGAACACGCACAGCAAGCACGACAAGCCCTGGTGCTGCTGGTCATGCATAACGACTGTCCCTCTCAGCTTATTAGCTAGGCCCTGCGGCGAAAGTTAGGCCAGCCACATTATTGCACTACTCCACGCTCATCACACCTATTCACCAGCATGCATCAAGTTTGGTAGAGTGCTTCTTTCACCGCGATCCATCGATCCGGTGAGAGAAGCGTGGCGGCATAGACCATGAGCTACTCTACTACTACATTTAACCTTCCTACGACGTCGTCGGTAGGGTAGTAAGTAGAATGACGATGGAGATGAATAGTAAATAATCTTGCAACAACCGACTAACTTACCGACGCGCTGGTTTTGGTGGTTGAGGGCGATGCGCTTGTAGACGTTACGCCAGTTGGGCCTGGCGAAGTGGGTCTTGACGCGGGTGCCCGACACGACGTCGACGCCGTGCTTGGCGTGGTTGAGCGACTGGAGCATGGCGATGAGCGCGGACCGGGCGTCGCCCTCCTCGTACACGCTGGTGCAGTAGTTGTGGAGCTCGATCACGCCCTTCTTGTCGGTCTCGGCCACCTCGTCCATGACGCCCCGGAACCACTCGAAGGAGCCCTGCTCGCGGGTCACCCAGTAGAAGTAGGCACGCCGCGTGCGGAACGACGCCATGGAGGACGCCGAGGTGTCGGCGCCGGAGCCGGCCTCCAGGTCGCCGTCCAGCTGCTTCATGTTGTTGATGATGTCCTTGATGATGGAGATCATGGGCGTGGCGCCGATGCCCAGCCCGACGAGAAGCACGATGTCGTACTGCTTGTAGTCCCTGCGCCGGCGCGTTGTACGGGCCGTCGATCAGCACCTTCGGGAAGCTGCAGAGCAACGGTAGTTTTGATTAATCCTAACTTCCTATCAAATGCACAAGCAATCTATGGAGCAGTTGGCATATGTGGTAGTGAAAAAAAAAACCCATACTATATAGGAGTATATTATTAGTAGAAAGTCAAAATTCAGTTTGTCGGAGAGGCGGCGAAGTCAACCGTGTTGCATTGCATTATGAAATCGGAGAACCTAACCCACACTCACAAGCCACACAGCATTGTTGCATGCTCCGTGTTTCACAGGCACACATGGGACGCGTGCAGAGAATGTCTTTTGTCCGAAAGATTTTTATATCAATGGATTTTTTTTAAAGAATATTCGGAGTGGAATATGTTGGGCATGGGCAGGCGTAGCTAGACCCTTCTTCACCTTATCCCCAGCCACTGGCTGTCCACAGCCCCCCAGATATGGCACTGGCCCATGGATAAACCAGCAGGACCAACAGAAGATATCACCGGCCGGGCACCGTTAGTTGGTTCGCCAATCTCTAGCTCATCATGCCCACCGGCCGAACTGAACGAGGCAGGTAGGCGCCACCTACCACTACTGTTCGGTGACGGAGATCCTGCAGAGGTCAAGGTCAACACCTGCTACTCCCCCCAAATGTCCACACGGAAGAACCCCAGTGAGATAGACAGGCACTGTGGCAATGTGAAACGTACAAAGGCTATATGTTGCTGCTGGCTGGGCTAGTGCGTGCACCGTAGAAAATGAAATGTTCCCTGCTGGAGACCCTGGAGTCGGGACCGTGATGCAAGGGATGATCTCATGCCGTGCCAAAAGGTCCTTGGAAGGGGAGAGAGAGAGAGGTCAGAAAAGGTGGCGCCACCGACTGGAGCCAGTCGAGCCAATGCAAACCAACCAGCCCATGCCGGTCCTAGACATGTGTGAACCCACAGCTGGAGAGCAGCAGTGGCACACGAACGGTCAGTGACGACGCGGCCACTGCCACCAAACACACCGAGCGAGACCTGGTCAGGTGAGGTCCAACCCCGACCCGGCTCCAGACGACTCGTCAACATCCTCCCACTCCCACCCTACGCTTGTCCGCTGGCTCTCCTAGCTAGCTCCCGCGATTGCCCCACGTTTTTGTCATGGAGACGCGAGAGGAAACTCAAAATTTCGTCGGTCCAAGGGACGATGCACGGGAGACTTCGTCTCACCTGGGGTTGGCCATGGCGCTGCCGTCGCGGTCGTACTCGGCGCGGAGCAGCCCGCTCTTGCCCTCCGTCGGCGGCCGGCACACCTGCATGCACATCCATCAGCACGCACTCAAGTTAGCTAGCTTCTTCAGCAAATCACCACACGTACGGGTACCGATCGATAATAACCACCAGGTGCTCGATATCCCCTTGCGAATTGATGATGATGATGACATGACATGGCGCGTATATATGCACGTACCCTCGAGAAGACGTTCTTGAGCTCGCGGGTCCAGTCGCCCAGCGTCCTGATGTGCACGCTCACGTAGTCGTCCCGTGGGGCCGACGTGATGGAGAACGGGTGCCTGCAACCAACGCAACGCATCCGTCCATTATATGAAAAGCATACGTAAACTACACAAGCTAGCAGTAGCAGCCTAATTAAACCAAGCATAGCCATAGGTGGAAGATCGAAAACAACGCAACGCTGGCTGGCTGCTTAATTACGTACCACTGGAACGGCGAGACGGCGGCGCAGTTGACGAAGATGTACTGTCCGCTCTTGTACCGGAACCCCTGCGGCTTGGAGAAGTGCAGCGACAGCACGTTCCCCGGGTACACGGCCACCTTCAGTATCCTCACGGGCCTGACGCTGGACCGCAGCGCGCGCGTGAGGCGCTCGCACGCGTACAGCACCATGGGCACCGCCAGGTACATCCACGTCGACTTCTTGTACCACTTGTGCGTCAGGTACAGGTAGTGCCCGTGCACGATGAGCAGCGCGTACACCACCACGAAGCAGTGGTGCGAGTACCAGAACGCGTTGAACCCCGTCAGCTTCTTCAACACCCCCGGCAGCGCGATCCGCCCGCGCCGGAACCACGGCGTCGCCAGCGTGAAGGCCACCGCCATGAGCACCAGCATCACCAGCCCCGTCCACCCCTCGGTGCCCTTCACGAACCACCAGTAGTTGGGCGGGCGCGGGACACCGAAGTACTGCCCCAGCGGCGCGTACTCGGCGTCCGTGGCGTGGAGCAGCCGCGGGAAGTCGCACGTCAGGTGAGAGATGATGTGGAGCCCGGCGCCCACGGCGATACCCACGGCCACCACCTTGTGGAAGTTGAGGTTGTCGTCGAAGGGCACGACGCGCCCGACGCCGGCGGTGCGGTTGCGGATCCAGGTGATGGTGTTCCGGCACACGGGCAGCAGGATGAGCGCCATGTTGAACTTGAGCGTCTCGGCGCCGCCCTTGGCGACGCACACGCAGTAGCCCATCACGTGGAACACGTAGCGGCGGCGGTACTGGATGAACTTCCAGGCGAAGAGGCCGGAGCAGATGGAGAGCCATAGGAGGAGTACCCACACGCGCTGCCAGTTGTCCTCCAGGAAGTACTGCGCGCGGCGGTACCAGCGCCGGAGCGGGTTCGGCTCGGGGGTGGGGCGGAGGCTCTGGCTCAGCATCTGGCTCAGGTTCCGGCTGTTGGTGGTGCCGATGCGCGCGGATTGGGAGGGCGCCTGGAGGAGCAGCATCTCCAGGTTGTAGAGCTCGATGTAGCCCAGGTTGCCCGGGTCCAGCTCCTCCATGATCAGACGCGCGTACTCCTCCGCTTGCTCCGTGATCTTCGACAGCTTGTTCGCCGACGCGCTCAGCGTGATGATCTGCAGGAAGAAGCATTTGGTTTGGTTTGGTTTGCTTGATTCAACAGCACACTTCTACTGCTGTACGCCCACACACAGAGACAAAGCAGACAGGCTGTGTGTGTGCATTGCTGTTGGTTGTTGGAGCGACGCCGACGGCTAAACTGAGTGGAGAAAGGCTGTTGACAAAGTTACCTCTTTGACCTCCTCCTCGGTGATCCTGCCGTCCGCGTCCTTGTCCACCCTGCAGGGGTAACCGAAGGAAGGTAAGGCTTGGTTACTCGATCGCGGCGCCATCAGTGAGATGAGCGTTTGACGGTCCGTAATTAAGGGAGGGGTTACTACTGTTTGTAGCAGCAACTCAACGTACATGTCGAAGAAGGTCTGCAGGCGGCCGTCGAAGCTGGTGTCGGAGATTTGGTCCCAGAACTCGAGCAGCTCCGCCTTGCTGATGCTGTCGCCGGAGATGTTGCGGCGCCGCAACAGCGCGTCGAACAGTTCGCCGGCGAACTCCGGCTCCTTCATCCCTGTTGTTCATCCATGTGTGTGTGGTTGATACAACAGGACAGTGACAGAGCTTGGCAGGTGCAAGCGAAGCAACACGCCAAAACGCTCGAAAGAACAAGCAACAGCAGAAGGATCGATCACTCACCGATGCACTGGCCGAACTTGGAGCGGTGGAGGAGTCCGTTCTCGGCGAGCTTGTCGAACCGCCTCTCGACGGCCTCCCATCCGGCGGTGCCCTCGGCCTTGCTGATGAACTTGAGCCCCTTGAGCGCGTGCGCCGCGGCGGACTTGGAGCGGTCGAACCTGGGCCCGCCGCCGCGGCGGTTGACGGAGGCGATGCGGCGGAGCTCCTGCGACACCTGCTTGATCCGCGACGACGCGTTCCGGATGACGGAGCTGGCGGACCGCCGGTTCTCCAGCGTGCGCGCCAGCAGCGTCACGTCCGAGTCGTCGCCGTTGCCGCCGGCGTGCCCGCCGCCGTGGGCCGGCTTCACGCTGTGCACCGCCACCGAGTCGTCGCGCACGTCGAGGGTGATCTCCACGTAGTCGTCGTCGTCGTTGTTGGACGCCGGCGAGGCGGCGCGCGGCGGCGGCGCGGTGAGCGGCGCCGACACGGACTCCGCGAACCGCGCGCTCTTCCGCGCCCCGGCCTTCTTGCTCAGCGGGCCGCTGTGCGGGATCACGCGCTCCCTGGTGGGCCCCTCGCCCGCCGCGGCGGCGGACGACGACGACATCTCGACGATGTCCCCGCCGCCCGGCCTGGGGTTATGCATGGCGATTGGTCGGTGGCCCCTTCCCGTCAGCTGCTTGCCAGGGAACGAAACGCTTTTACGCTGGTACGGAGGGGCGGGCGGGTTCTGTAGTCGGCAGGCAGCGAGGGAGGGAGGCGGAACCGGGAACGGGAGGCGAGGGAGGGACGGTGCGTTTGGCGAGGAGGGGCAGCCGGCGGGGAGCTTTATAGCCGTATCGGGACGGGGGTCGGGGCGCGCGTAGTACGTTTTATTTTACTAGTCGTCGTCGCCGCCGCTGCTGCGGCTGCTTCCACCAATCCTCCTTTCATTTCATCTCATCGTCTTCGACCCCGTGGCCGTTCGCCGGTTCGGGCCTCGTTTCGCTGGGGCCCCGCCGGTTCGTCCCCCGTGTCGTCAGCGTCCGTCGCTGTGTGTCGTATGTACTAGGGGGCTGTTTGGTTCCCTGCATCCGCCTGAACTGGTCAGCGTACGTGTCAGCGTACGCCGAGAGCGCGTGCCCTGCTCTGCTGCTGTCTTGGCTCCGATGGCCCACTATGGAATATGGATCAACAGCTCTCAATTTGGGCACGGAAGGGGAACGCGACGACTATTTCCAAAATTGGGGCTTACTTTCTCGTTCATACTTCATACCCTGTAACATTGACGTTGATGACCGCTTAACCACAGACGACATAAGATCCTCCTCTCTTTGGGACTTGTTTAGATTGCAAGTTTTTTCACTCTCTTTCCATTACATCAAATCTTTGGACACATACATGTAGTATTAAATGTAGATAAAAAAAACTAATTACATAGTTTGATTGTAAATTACGAGACGAATCTTTTGAGCCTAGTTATGCCATGATTGGATAATAATTATCAAATACAAACGAAAGTGCTACAGTGCCAAATACTGATTCCTAACCCCAATCTAAACAAGACCTTGGTATGGTGTATATGACCTTCGCCTAAAGGCCAGAGAATTCACATTTGAGTAGCTTTAATCTTCTTCTAGTAGTAAAAAAAAATACTGTAGTTTCTCCTTTGTAACTTTTTGCAGAAGCATTTTATATAAGGTCCGTTTGGATCCTTCGAATTGAATTCATTCTAATAATTATAATTTAAGCATAGATTAATTAAGCTTATATAGTTATATATGTAATACATTTGTATACTAGTATTAGCCATAAAAGAGATACTTATATGTTGTATTTCTAGTGTAGAACTATAGCATGTTGATCTATATAATTAATTTCCAACTCTCATCTAGTCTAACCCATTAAGTATATTACAATTTCTCCGACGTGAAAGGATCAAAAAAAAGCCCTAAGAGCTTTATTTCGAAAGTCCTCGAAAGGGACGTATGTATGTTCCAAGACCATCCACGATTTGAAATGGACGGTCATCATTGAGAACCAGTGTCCCTAGCATCGTCCTAGCTATCGAATTGATAGGACAGACATTTATATCCATATACAAAAATGAATATAAACATAGATCAAAATATCCTCAAATATAAATAATAGGATCGTTTGATCCAGTAACATACTATTGAATTATAATTTTATTTTATTTCGTTTCAGTAACTAAATATTGTTTTTAGCTTATGGGGAAAACATATTGTTTTTATTGCAGTCTATTATGAAGTTGAGAATGAATGATGTTAGAAATGGCAAGGAAAAAATTGTAAATCTGTTGTTGTTCTTATTCATCAATGTGTTCTCAAGGTATTTAATAGCATTTATAGCGGTTGTAATTGCTCTAAAAAAGCGACAGATATATATAAAAGTATGTACTACGATAATATTTAAAATAATGCATTAGAAAAATTAATGGTACTTAAAGAGTTTTTAGACCATCCACTAATTATGATTTTGTTATTCAAATATTATTATTTTTTATCTCTAAAATAGTGAGCGGTGCTGGAACAAACCAGACACAATGGTTCATCGGTCATTCTATGTAGGACATTTGACCAAGCTGAGCTCAAAAGAAAAGCTTGAGGACTGAAATGCACTTTGACAGTTAACTTATGAATGAAATGAAGCACGGAATTTAAAGTTTGAGATCTAAAATATTTAGTCCTAGGATGAGATTGAGCCCAAAGTAAACTTTGACGATCGAACTGTCGGTTCGAAAGTTGGGGGCTGAAACTAAAGCTCAGATGATAGTTGAGGGATTAAAATGAATGTTCCGCCATTTTGAGCATGGCAATCTTGGTGAAATACCTGTTAACATTTCCATTTTGTTTGTGATCCTTAGGGTGATTCCTCTCGTCATGAGCAACATGCGAACCAGTCTATGCTTATTCTGCCTATTCGATGACGGGTGGGGTATATGGCATAGTAGCTGGCATGGTGGAAGCTGAGCTGCAGCCTTGCAGCACAGCATCCGGTGGAACTCAAGAGTACGGTAGCCGTCAGGTCAGAGCTTCGTCCCCATGACTAAGGTTTTTAATTTCGGTATCGCCAAAATTTCGGCCACCACTGAAATTACCGAATTTTACGAAATTCGGCCAAAATTTCGCCGAATTTTTTTTTAGAAATTAGCACATAAAGTATGTTTTTTCTAAAAAAAATTTGGATCTAAACAAATATTAGTATGATTTATGACTACATATCTATTAAATAAAAGAATATGCAATATAAACAATAGAAAAATATAAGATTAGAGTTATATAGCACATGTATTAGTGTATTAAAAAATTTCGGAGTTTTCTTTCGGCCACCACCGAAATTACCGAATTTCGTAAAATTCGGCCGAAATTTCGCCGAAATTTTGAACCCTGCCCATGACCGTCACAGAAATTCCTGTTTTTTTTTTATATTTCTAGCACGGACATGTCTAACCGTCCTAGCACCACGTAAACGTGTATTGATTAGTCGAAACAAACTAACCTGCTACAACATAGAGTATATTAGAGTGTAGATTAAATCAATATGGTTGCGTTCCCTCGAAAATGCTCTCGTGCTCGTAGGTACTTTCCAAACAGGACGGACCTAGTTATAATAAAAGAATCCTAGGTCACGTTCCCTTCTGCTGAAATTTAGTTTATCTTCGACGCTTATCTTTGAAACGTTACGGATAGAAAAATACCGTTTCTATAAATGAAAAAATAGCTGAAGCAAACAGGGCCTAGCATACTCGTCAGGACGATGGTCCTAATTAATTTGATGATGTGAGGCTGATGACATTTCCGTGCTTTGAACTCGATCCTAACTTGGCGGCGGTTCGTACGCTTCTCCTGGCGTAGCAGTCATGCGGTCGTAACGGCCAGCCCGGCAGCGGTCCCTGCCACGGGCGGCGCGTCTCCGTCAACGCTCAAAACCGTGTCGCCGAGATCGATCGATCAATCGATCGAGCTCTCCGCCCGGCGACATCGTCTTCTCCGTTTTTCCCGCCCCCGGTGGGTTCGTCGCGTGCCAGTTGCCACGCGCAGCTGCCAAACTCCGACGGTCAGCGAGCGGCCTTGACCGGGCAGCCCGCAGCCTCTCTTCGTTATCGATCGTTCCTGCTGGCCGGACCTGGAGATGTGGCGGGCGCTGGGAGTGGGAGTGCGACGCGGCGGGCGGCTGCATGCACTGCTCGAAACGGAATCCGGCCGGGCACCGGCAGACGTCGACGGGGCTGCTGGGTCGTCCACACCTTCCCGGGTCCCGGCGGCGGCACATGCGACGTTGACGTACAGAGGCGCTGGGTGGTGGACTGAATGCAATGCAGCGGTGGCAGCTCTCGCCTTTACACCGGGGCTAGCAGCGGTTTCGCACAGAGCGGCACGGGTGAATTGCGTGCGCGTGGTTCCGAGGAGGCGCAACCGCGCCGGTGTGGGCGTGTGGCAATGGAAACAGGTGTTGCCGTGCTGGTCTCCATCGTTTGTGTCGCAACGGGTCCCGCTTCCGCCTGCTTGCGAGGATGCGACCGAATTTTTTGTTTTCAGACTTTTTTTTTTTGATGAATTTTCACAGTTTGAGTTGAGTACAACAAATTTTGCTTTTGGACCTAAACCTAAATCAGTCTTTAACATGACCGAATTGTAACGCTGTTTTTGTCCTCTAAATCTTTCTAATTCCCTTATCGTCGTTAGTGAATTGACAAACTTTGCTCATGTCACGCTTAGCGCCACATAAAGCAGCCACGTCAACGATACGAAGAAAATGACCCCGGACCTCGGCGCCACGTGTAAGCTCAAGGCCAATTGTCACGACGCCGAGGTCGGGTCTATTTTTAAATGATAATGCCAGGATGTATTTGTGAAAATCTTTATAAAAAAAGGCTGAAAACAAAAATCTGGAGGATGCATAACCTGGGGATTCTCTGTCTCAGCACTGCATGCTCGCCCACACCTGACACCCGTAAATACACTGATACTGATGGATATACTCCGTAGTATGTGGCACATTTTTTAGTCATAAATAAAGGGAGATGGTGTATCGACTATGCGACTTTGAGTAAAAAAAAAAGATGGTGTACAGAGTGTATGGAACTTGCTTATACCATTGCGTTTTAGCCCTTAGTTCTTTCAAACTCTTGAAAAGTGCACTATGCAAAAATAAGATTCCCTGTCACATCAAACTTCATGACATGCATTGGAAAGATTAAATGTAGATTTAAATCAAAAACTAATTGCACAGCTTTGCTTTAACTTTTATGAGAGACGAATCTTTTGAGCCTAATTAGTTAATGTTTGGACAATAATTCATAAAATAAGTTTAAATGCTACAGTAGAAAATCTTCACTATGCAAAGTTTGCCTTCGCAAAGTTTGCCCAACTAAACACCCCAAGCTGCAAGTACAAGGGCTTCAAGAAAACACATTGGATCATTCGGGCCTGTTTGGATGAGTTTCGTATTCTTAAAAACTAGGTTTTGCCTCTACTTTTTAAAATCTGTATTCTGAGCAAAAACTACTAGGGGGGTGTTTGGATCCCTCGTTTTTAAGAATTTAGCTTCATTTATTACTCACAGGGTCACAAGAAACTAACAAAAGCTGGTGAAAGGATTAAGATGTCTAAGAGGGGAGGTGAATTGTGCTAATTCTAAATT